ATTCGGTTCGTCATGGCATTTTGTTTTACAAAGATCGTTTGGTCATTTCGCGAGTTTCTAAGTTTATTCCTTCATTGCTCGAGGAATTCCATAAATCGGCATCCGAAGGTCATTCTGGCTATTATCGCACTTATCGACGTTTGGCTTCTACTTTGTATTGGCCAGGAATGATAGCGGTTGTCCAGCAGTTTGTTAAAGCTTGTGACTTATGCAAACGTTGTAAGGCTAGCTCTACTTCTCCGGGTGGTCTCTTACAGCCATTAGATATTCCCAATGCAATTTGGGAACATCTATCGATGGACTTCATTTTGGGATTGCCCAAATCTAAAGGTTATGATGCAGTGTTAATAGTGGTAGATAGACTCTCAAAGTACAACCATTTCATACTCTTATAACATCCTTATACGGCAAAGCCAATCGCTGAAATTTTTGTCCGTGAAGTCGTTCGTCATCACGGGATTCTGAAGTCCATCGTTAGCGATCGTGACCCATTATTTTTGAGTCACTTTTGACAAGAAATTTTTCGATTGCAAGGTACTCAGTTGCGTATGAGTTCCGCTTACCATCCAAAATCGGATGGCCAAACTGAGGTTATTAATCGTTGCTTGGAAACGTATTTACGGTGTTTGGCAATCGATCAACCACGTTCATGGTCTATCTGGATTCCGTGGGCGTTCTGGTACAACTCCTCCTTTCATGGGACTACGGGTACCTCTCCTTTCGAGGTGGTGTATGGGCGAAAACCTCCTACCGTAATTCAATTTATTCCCGGCGAAGTTAGGGTGGACGCTATGGGTCAAGAGTTGCAGGATCGAGATGAAGCTATTAAGCAACTAAAGGTCCATTTGTTGCGGGCTCAATCGATAATGAAAAATCAAGCAGATAAGAAACGTCGAGAGGTGAATTTTCATGTGGGCGAATGGGTTTATGTAAAATTGAAGTCTTATCGACAAATGTCAGTTGCTCCTCGTATACATCAGAAATTGACAGCAAGATTTTTTGGGCCGTTTAAAACTGTGGACCGAATTGGAACAGTCGCTTACAAATTGGAGTTGCCGGTTTCCTCGAAAGTACACCCGGTTTTTCATGTTTCATTGTTAAAGACAGTCGTACTGTCAAATGCAGTGGAGCAGAATTTTCCCCCGGAGTTGGAGGTCAACACAGCTGATATGTTGTTTCCAGTTGCTATACTTGCGGAGCGTACGGTGGGATCTCACAATGATTCAGTGTTACAAAGGTTAATTCAATGGAAGGATCGTTCCGTGGACGAGGCAACATGGGAAGATGCGTTGGTTATTAAAGGCCAATTTCCGGATGTAAGTCTTGAGGACAAGACTTTAATTGAAGGGCGGAGTAATGTTACGGATCCAATTGTTATGGACCTAAGCCCACATAAACCAAATATTTTAAAGGTATATTCGAGAAGGTCCAAAAGGGTAGAAAAGGAAAGTGGCTAAGAATGTTTGTTGGAGTGGTGCTTAAATAAGGAGGGGGCTGGAAAGGGTAGTCATTCTGTTATTTTTCCTAAAATGTAATTGGCTCTTTGCATAGGCTTAGAGAGAGGGAAGTTTTCC